AGGACCACTGGCCCCGAGCGCGATCCGCGGCTCCGCGGCCGAGCCCGTTGATTTTAAGACCAGTCTCGAGGAATTGAGGTGCCCCGGGATTGGCGGCAAAATCAAAGCATTGTTTTTAACCAGAGGGAGAGTAGACTTGTGCCTTGCTCTTCGTCCCGTATTAGCACATCATTTATTTTAAAGAATGAATTATTTACTCATCCTATAAAGTTAGTAGGGAGGGGGAGGTAGGACCCTGCTGCCGACAGCCTTGAAGTCCGTATCGTTTCGAAAGCAACCCCCCGCCCCCCTCCTGGTCACCGAGATCCTGGAAGACGGGTCTGTTCTTTTCCAAGTTCTGGTAATGGGCTTGCATTCAACGCTGTCCAGTCGATGCTTTACTTGGTGTCCTCTTCGAATGCCGCTAGCTTAACAGGACCTGTATGGGAGGCACTTAGATACCACAAATATCCTTCGTTCATTTTGTGCCAGTGAAGTGTTTTAAGTAAGGTGTAATAAGCCAATTTTAACTTTAATAAAGTTAAATAGCCGCAACATAAATGTCTAAGTATCTCGCTGATGCCTGTTTGGATTACTACAAAAAGCGACAATAATTTCTTAGCGAAATTTAGGGCCCATTTTATCCTAAATTGGTTGCATGAATTCCCCACCCCATGTTCAAATTCAAGATGGTGTGGTGAATAATAAGAATCAGGCTGGAATCTTACTTCTGGCAACATTATTAAAGGAGGTTACAATAGTAAAAAGAAAAAAAAATACCTGTCTGAATTCTACCTTTAAATTGCCTTCCTAGAAACAATGTTTATCTGTTTCCATTTAAGATGAGTTGAACTACAAGCTTTTCTTGAAAATTAAACATGTAGCTAATCAAGATTTGCAGATTTCAAATAAATACAAAATAGTATATGTAAAATACACTAGAATTCAGCGTCCACTCCATCTGTAAATGCTATTTTTTAAAATTTTAAATGAAGTATTTTCTGTAATGTTTCTGAATGTGTGTAGCTCTTATTTTGGCTTTTTAAAGGTTTATATTCTCTTTCATAAAAATTACCACTTTATTGTGTGCATATTTATCTTGGAATTTTAAAAAAGTGAGATGAGAAGAGAGACTTTACTGTTAGGCTTTTATTAAGGAAAGTGTGCGTTTATGAGATTTTTGGCTAATATTTTAGATCTTTTGCTTAAAATATGTGAGCATAAAAATAATATTGAATGTAAACTGTAATTGAAAAAAATAAAAATAAAGTAAAATAAAATGTGTAAGCATAAATGGAAGAAAGCATTCTAAGTGATAGCAGCCTGCCTACAAGTAATTCATTCTGGAACAAGAACAGCTTCAGGGTGAAAAATAGTAGGTCTTCTGTTTCTTTCAAATGTACCTAAATCAGTTGACATTAACAATTCTCTTTTGATGCATATAGAGAGTGTGGAATGTATAGCACAGATAGACAATAGTTTCTTAAATTGCAAGAGTTGTCTTTCTTTTACCTCAAAATTTTCACTTCAACTAAATGCCTGCTTTTCTTTTTGTTCTGCAGGCTCCAAACTTAGGTGGAACAGGGTGGGGTGGGGAGATTTGCATCTGGTGGGAAGATCTTTCTACGAGAATTTCCTGCTATTTTAACTGGCATAGAAATATTGATGGCTACTAATCATTTGTCAGTTAAATGCCCTGCGCACAAAGCTCTGTGAAACATCATCTTAATCTTAACTTTATTGAATTAAAGTATTGCATGTAATTTTGATTCTATTTATCTTAACAGATGCAGTTTATGTTGCTTTTTAGTCGTCAGGGAAAGCTTCGACTGCAGAAATGGTATGTCCCACTATCAGACAAAGAGAAGAAAAAGATCACAAGAGAACTTGTTCAAACCGTTTTAGCACGGAAGCCTAAAATGTGCAGCTTTCTTGAGTGGCGAGACCTGAAGATTGTTTACAAGAGGTATCATTTTTATTTTTCAGAAAGGTGAAATAGCAGAATCAAATGTTTGGTCATTTGTAATGTGGAAATTACAGATTTTTCAGAGATAACCTTTATAGATAATGATTAAAAAGGATTTAGATGAAAAAGGTTTTAAGTTAAAGCTTTGTATTTTCTAAAATAAATTGTTTTGGTTACCCAGGCTAACATGATAAAATCAGGGAAGTTGTTTTAAAGCTAATTATATAATTAAAGCCTTAATCATCTTTTTTAGAAAAATTCAATGAATTCATCCCTTTGCAGGGGGGAAATAGGATCAGTATTTTAAAATGTGTGAGTAATTCTCTGAATTTAGATAAGCATTTCCTCCCTCCCTCTTCTCCCCAAAAATCTATAACGTAATGACTGATAATTGACATGCCTTTCATCTGACTTTTAGAATCTTACTTATAAACACCTTGAATACGTAGACCATTTGAGTCATATAAATATTTAAAATTTTTGTGTATATACAGGATCTGTTAGTAGTGTTTCTTAATTAGAGGTAGACTTGTTGCTGTGCTGGAGGTGTGATTAGATCTGACAGATAAATTTGCCAAGAATAGATAAAATATTTTTAACACTAAGCTTTTAAAAAAATGCATTTATCTTTATTAGCATCTGAAAGTCTTTTAATACCTTAAAATAAGTTTCTCAAAATTGTTCTAATTATGTTAAAAGAAATATACTTACTCTGTTTTTTCCCCATTTCTCTACCCTTAGGAATAATTTACTGTTTTTAAGGTACAAGGGTTTCTGCGTGTGAAAAATTTTCTTCTATGGGAGATATGTAGGGAACTAACAATATGGGCTACAAGGAGGGTTGAAGAGAAATCTGGGTTTTTGTCTCAGCTTTCCTGGATTCCACTCCAAGTGTGGGTGGTGTATTTTGTGGGAGAAATGACAGGAAGTAATAGAGATTATATGACATCAAGAATTTTAAAAATACTGTAGACTCCTCTTTCCAATAAAACTAATTTAGTCATCTTTGGGTGATTTTGTGTCCAGTGTTTTGTTTAGTACTTGTTGAGAAAAATCATAGTATTTTATTTATTTATTTTTATTATTTTTAATCCTCACCAGAGGATATTTTTTCAATTGTTTTTCAGAGAGAGTGGAAGGGGGAGAAAGAGAGAGAAACATCGATGAGAGAGAGAAACATATATTGGTTGCCTCCCCACGCACCCTGACCAGGCTGGGGATTGAACCTGCAACCGAGGCACATGCCCGTTGGCTGGAATCGAACCCGGGACCCTTCAGTCCATGGGCCAACGCTCTAACCACTGACCCAAACCAGCTAGGGGAAAAATCATAGCATCTTAGATCTTGGAGAGTTCTTAGAATATCTAGTTAATTATTTTTTTTTAGGTGAATTGGTATATAACATTATATTACTTTTTAAGTGATTAAAAACAAAAAAAAAGCTTTTTGCCCCAAGGATGGAACCTTAAATGAAACAAGTGGAAGTGAGGTGCTCTTGTGAAATAAAGACTGGTCCTATACCACTTGCTCACTTGGCCTCTACCCTCTGCCTATGAGATGGCTCTTGAGTTTGAAAACCACTACTGTTGATGGAACGTCAACTTTTTTTTTAAGTTAGAATTTGGGAGAAGTGACTTGTCCAAGGTCATATGCTAGTTAGTGACTGGCATAGGGGCTACAGCTCAAATCTTAAGTGTGGAAGCTAAGGATTTGAACAGGGACGAAAAAAGAGCAGATTTGCCTTTCTTAACAGATCTTTATAATTGGAGAATGGGTGGGGAAAGGACTGAGACTGGAACCTGAGGGGGAATTTGTTAGGAGACCGAATTATAATGAGTTCCTGAAGGAAGACCTCTTGCTGTGTGCTCAGCAGGTGGAAAGAGCTGTTACCCAGGTAAATTTTTTAAGACTTGCTCCCTTCTAGAAGGGAGGAGGGCAGCAAAAGGGGAGGAATGGAGCGATTCCACTTTTCTGGTTCTGCTGACAGGCTGAATGGTGAGTTGGTAGACAAGTTGACGTTGAGATGCCTGTGTGACTTCCATTTGGAGATGCCTAGTTTTCTTGGGGTGGGCATAGGTGTGGAAGTCTGCTTGGAGGGATAATTAGGCATAATGTGTTTCATCACTAACATTCAAGTGGGAGGAAAAGGGGAAGAGGGTCAGTAACATGGAGAAGAGGAGTCACCAGTGCCAAGTGTTGCATACAGTTCAATTACAGTGAAGAAAGACTCTCAGATTTTACAGTGGGCATTTCATAAAATGCCCTTTGTGGGAACATTTTCAGTGAAATAGTAGGGAGAGAACTCTTGAAGAAATGGGGAGAAAGATGAAGACCTGGAAACATTTAAACAGCAAATGTAGATTATTTGGGGAGCTTTGATCTGAAGGACAGAAGAGGTGGTAACCACCCATAGATTAGGAGTGAGGGACAGGGCTTAAAAAAGGTGTGAGAGACTTAAGCTTATTTCTAGATAGGGGAAGGAGTCCCCCGTGTGGAGGAGGAAAATACCAGCAAGAAAATGAATCCTAGGAATGGAGATTCGTGTTAAACGGAAGGATAGAAAGCTCTAATGGTGTTCCTACATGCAGCATTCAGCCCACCCATGTTGGGCCACAATTTTTTCTTTTAAAGGCTATAAAGGGAAATGTAACCTGACTCTGATATTTGCATCAAGCTCCTATAAATAAAAGGTACAATAAACACACACACACACACACACACAGCTTTACTGAGAGAAAATGCACATACAAAAGTTAGAATTTAATTGGTTTTTCTATGCACCACCACCCCCATTTCATACTGAAAACCACCAGTTCTACTAAGGACATAGTTATTTGTTGATATAAACAAGTGATTAGTCCAGATGGAAGAGAAGACCTTTTAAGCAAAAGAATTACTGCTTAGCTCCTGAGAAATTCTGAGCTAGCACTGTCTGTCATTCTTCAAATCAGCAAGTGATCTTTCTGTCTCCCTCAAGTAGTCTCATCCGCTTTCTCCCTCCTGAGCATTTTGCATAACAGTTATCTGGAGTAGTAGGAAGGGAGTAAGGTTAAAATTAGTATAGCTGAAAAAATGGACTGAAAGTCTGGGGACTTGAGTTCTATTCCTTTTGTACCATTAGCTAGTTTTGTGACTTTGAACAAGTCATTTGGCCTTTGTTTCCTCATCTCTAAAATAAATGCTCTTGAGATCCTTTGAAGATAGAACACTATCTTTTTTTTTTTTCTTTTCCTATTTTGTGCAGCATGTTATGGAAGAGGCACTGGATTAAAGTCTTAAAATTAAAAAATACATGCATCTCCAAATTACTAACTTGAGAATTCGCTGAAGAGGACTGTATTGATTTTCTTTACTAACAAAAGAATTTTTAATGACACCGTGGGTATTGAGAACAGTTTAGTTACATTCACCCACCATCAGCTGATATTTAGCTGACTGTGGAGAAGTCATGTGTTTTGAATATAAGAATAGGCACTTTCAGATGTTCTGTGAGTGCCAGTAATTAGAGTAAGCCTTAATCCACTCGCTAAAAATAACCAAACATACCTTTCTTCTTACTAGTCTATTATTAATTTTACTTCATATTCAGACTTACAAATATGCACTAAGAGAACAAAATGAGCTCATTATTCAGTTTTTAAAAGCCATTTCTAAAAATAGGGAGTACACTTCAGGTTCTTTTGGTAATCTTTCACTAAATAAGTAAAACAATTTTTATCTCTTTTCAAAGCTGTTAAAATATTGCTTTGAATGTGTTTTAATTTTTAGCCAGATGCAGGACTACTTTATTTAATACAGTTCCTGGCTGTAGTTTTTAATATAAAACTTGGGCTCTGGAGTATCATTGCCATTCCTGGGGAGGTTGTTCAATTAAGCCTGAGTCTCCTAAATGCAAGTGACAATGGTTTTTCTCTGGAAGGATTGTTGTGAGGATTAAAATGGTAAAATATGAGGACTCAATGAATGTTATCTGTTATTATTATGCTTCTCTTTCTCCCCTAAGCTTCTTGGAAAGACATACCTTCTTATAATGCTGATAACTAGATGTTCACCTACAATGAAGAATTCATTTAATTTGGTGGTTTTTTTTCCATTCTGAGCAAGAGCAAACATTTAAATAATGTGTTCCGGGGTTTTGTTTGTTTGTTTGTGTGTGCTTTAATGTTACTGATTGGTGCTTAGACACATCAATCTGGTGATATTTAAATTAATATTTTCGAATGACTCATACAATTGAGGACCTTTGACTAGTGTTAAAGTGCTGTTGGTAAGTAGAGGCAGTACAGTGGGTAAGGAGTAAGGGCGGTGCAAGCATTGGATTACTGAACAGTAACATTGAAAAAAATCTTTGAGTCCGTTGATGCAATGGATATACTGAAGCAAACAAGACAAAAGGAAGAAACAAAAATAACTAATATGTATTCTCGAGACTGAACGCCTTTTGAACTATAGAATGTTCCAAAGATTATACCCCTAAGTGGCTGTATAATGACTTCATGGGAGACCTACTCGGTCACATAGGGAGCTGGAGCCATTTATTTTATTTGGAAATTATGACAAATGAAAAAGAATCAAGTTTGAAAAGCTCACATCCTTTCAACAGAAGGTAACTGTTCCTGTTTTGCACAAACTGGGCAGATAATTTCTTCTGAAGTTGATATTGATACCATTAGTACATTGTATAAAACAATGGCTGCTATTTTGTTCACAACTGAATAAAATGAAAACTTCACTTAATTGTGGATTTGATCAGATTGGATTTGTTGTTTTAAATTCCTATCTACTGTCAACATGTTGGTAGCTATAGGGTATTGCCAGATGAAATTTAGTTTTAAAAATTCTTTTGGCTGGGGGGGGTGGGTGCCCGGCAGAGGGGGTCAATGGGGAAAAAGGGGAGCATCTATAATACTTTCAACAATAAAGATAAATTTAAAAAAATCCTTTTGGCCAAATAATTGTAGTAATTTAAATATTTCACTTTCACTGTTGGTTTTTGCATCCTCCTGGGGGAGGGGGCAAAGAATGTGTATAGTTTTAAGCTTAGAAAGTAAAGTAAACTGATTTAAGTAAAAAAAGAAAAAGAAATCTTAAAAAGAATTTTACCTGAAACTAATAGTAAATTCTTTCTAATGGAATCACTTAGCATTCTGTTCATGTTAGCTAGTCATGTCTGGTTTTAAATCTACCATTTTCAATGTCAGTCCCTTTAATCTTTAGTTTTCTTAATTCAGGGCACCTTAATGTGTCATTTGTATCAATTTCCCCAAATTCAAAACTGTTCGGTGAGCATGGATTCAGGAGGATGGAGAGTTATAACATCCCACTACATCTTAAACATAAACAGAAACAGGTTAACGCTGGGAAAAAGAGGAAGTTCTTCCTTGAAGTTGGAGGAGGTGCCCTGTTATGTCCTTTATGATGATAAATGAATGCATTCGAGCACCTGCTCTCTGCAGGAGACCCCACATTTTAAGTAACTTACTGAATGTAGAAGTCAGGTAGAACGGGTATGGCAAAAATTCATGTGTATGACGGGATGCTGGTGGGGTAGATGGTAAAGGACTGAAAAAGATTTGTCCCAGTACAACTACTTGGCAGGCCCTGTACTCTTGGGCCTCTTTTTTTTTTTTT